GAAGGCCTTATTTGATATAACTTGGGCAGTAGTCATGCTTTGCAAATAGGTTTTTCTTCCCTTAGCATGACTATTACCCAAGTGATTCTTGTTAGAACCCTTGAAACCTTAGCACAAATATTAGCATGTCGATTATGATGCAATAATTCACATTGCTTACTAAGATATGCTCGCGAGCAATGCTCATTAAAGCATCACAGACAACAACGTGTCGCTCAAATAACGAGGTCGATCTGTCATTAAGACAAGGCAGGTAATGCTCGTGCAATATATAAAATGACTTAGCATACAGTGATCGCTAGATCATGGTATGAGCAACCATAAGCAATATGTTAACATATTAAACCCGATGTGACTGCTCTATCAAGGTGTGAGTGATCATATCAGACACAAGGTTATATTAAATATATGAGTGTCGTATTAGGTGGACACTCTCATCTCATCATATCTACAAGTACATATGAATTGCTCATCTGACGGGATCGTACGAGATAAACGATTGCACATGAATGAAGCAAACAAAATAGTCTATACAGAAATACAGTCATCTTAAGAAAAATGAATGTACTCGTATACTACAACAATATCATATGTTATGTGAGTATAATTTATACCGTGGGGATGAGAGGTAGGTCAGCACTATGTGGCTAACTGTCTCAAAAGATGCATGCTACTAATCATAACTATATGATGACACATGCTCAATGATAGAAGTGTTAGGCATGCAAATGCAAGTATGAAACATACAATTTGTGTGTATCAGGTATAGGACACCCTATGAGAGATTACACCTCACCCAAGAGGCAACATATATGTCTATGCAAATGACAGAAAAATTCTACTCGATGCAGCTCGATATACACAAAAAATATTGAGTTAAGTCGCATTGTGTGTATGACACCCCAAGGAGAATTACACGTTGTCCAAGAAGCGACCAAGCGTGCACATGCAAATGGCATGAACAACGAATGCATGATATGCTTATGTCAATTGACAAACACAATAAATGCTATGGTGATGCCATTGATTCTAGGTGGTATGGCTCAAGCTAAGAATGAGCCATACACCTAAGTAAACAAGCACTGTATGCTAGACAGGGTCATAAGCTAGGTGGCATGATCTATTGTAGACAACTAAATGCAGCATATCCCTGACACTCCTAGATGGTGCCTTAGAGGAGAAGTAGAATAATTCTCATGAAAAGGAATTACACATTGAATAGGCCTTACATGGAGGCCACTTTCTAAAATGATATGCAAGTATCTCATCACACACATACGGGGGTGTATGTTCATGGAGATACAACAAGTGCAGGTGCTCAATGAAACATCACATATATGTCAAATACTAGACGTCCACTCATAGAGCTGTAAATGAGTCGAGCTTGAGCGAGCTCAGTCTTAACTCGTGTTCGGCTCGTTCGAAATTGCTCGTGTTCGAAATCGGCTCGCGAATAATGTGTTCATGTTCGGCTCGTGTTAAGTTTGAAATTGACTCGTTAAAATTAAATTTGAAAAAAAAATAATATGTAAAATATTGCCTGGACCAAATGTATGCAAAAGAAGACATTTCAAATCACAAAAACTTGGTTCAAGCTCGGCCGGAGCTCGAATTTTATAAACAAGCCTAAGCTTGAATACAACTCTACTTGTCCTAGCAGGCTCGTTTGCGGGCCTACTTGAGAACAATATGTCATATGTGGACTATATAAAGATTTCACACTCACTGATAAGTAAATGTGGAGGCAGAGGCAAACCCAGAAGGGGTTCAGGGGAGGCGAAATTGATGGGTCCGCCTCTGCCTCCATTTTTATAGATCCTTATTTTCAAAATTGCAAGCACTTTTAATTATTCATAATTATAAATAATAATATTTATGATATATTATTAACTGTGGATAAAAAGGAGCACGCAAACGTCACTATTAGATCTTCCGGTAAAAGGGAGGGAGTTCGAGTTTCTGCGGAGTCTGACCTTCCATCAAACCTGGTCAAATAATAATGCAGATAATAATTCCACCTTTCTTAAATTCAATGCATATTTTATCTTAATTCAGTTATATGTGCTCCCAATTTGTATCGTGCCATTAAAAAAACTTGTCTACATTTCTAAATTAGATTTTGACCCAAAATTAAAACGTTTTCATTTCAAAATATGAATTTATTTCCAAAGTAAATTATTACGCTAAATTAATTTTTTTTTTCAATTTATTTTCAAAGTCAAATTAAATTACATGGTCAAGTTTTTTATTATTATAGTTTCGAGCAATGTGGGGGTTTGAGTGTAATTTTTTAGAAATTTTATCTTATTTCCAATCAATATTCTATTTACATATTCAAACGCAATGAATTGTCTAGAGAGGCGGAGCATATATGTATGTTTTTATAATTAATTAATTTATAGGCCATAGGTATCTATTGAGCAACAGTATATGGATTATTCTATACAGGGTTCGATGTGGTTACACTAATTTAATTTCTCGGATTTTTTTTTTTAATATAATTAAAGCAAGACTCAAGAGCTTCTTCCACACTTGAATAGTGTAAATTAACACAATTGATCTATTGCAACTTCTTCCACACTCATTCCTTTATTGATTTAAGAATCAAATAATCTTATGTTCGCCTTGGGGAGAAATAACACTTGTTTATAAGTAAAATTTGAAGAATATTTAATCCATTTATTTACGTTGAAAATTTTTGTATATATTTGTTAATGTTTGTGTACACACCAAAACAATCAACGCGAATCTCAAAGAAATCGAATGACCCCCGTGATAGTCAGACAATCAAGGCTTCCTATCATCCAACAAGCGACCGCGTGGTTAGAATCGACCGACACACTATTGCGCGAGATTCAATCAGCGGACCACACTTGTAGTTCCAACCGACCAAGATGCATGCAAGAGCTTGTGATTGCAAGCTAGTCGGTTGATCCACTTTTACTATGGCGGGCGAGATCTCCATTCAACCAAGCACCTCAGTGGAATGACATTTACTTCGAGAAATGCGATCGTCACTCAGCGGATAGACATTTACTTCGGAATGTGCAATAGCCACTCAGCTGGTCATCTCAGCTGACCAAATACAAGTAGGGTGACCAACATATTACCATCATATTAGAATTCAAATTGTAATATATATATATGATATAAAATATATACAATTAATTAGTGAGTCAATTGTATTAAAAACAAATTTCATAGATGTTATCTTCTTTTGTATTTGTACAAATATGCCTCTATAAATAGGAGACAAAATGTCAAATAAAAAACCCCTCCCTCGGCTCACTCCATTGGGAACGCTTGACTTATTCTACACACCCTCTCTATTTCTTTTCTCCTTCGTTTGGTTCTAACTCCCGAGGCGTATTCACAAAGAACAATTTAGGATACAACAGTTTGGTTTACAACTAATTTGAATTCATATCAAGTTGATCTTGGTATTATTGTGTTCATTGAGTTGAATGGTACTAAATTGAGTATAAATTTGCAAAAAATAAATTTTAAATGGTCCATAAACTAATTTAAAATAATAATAATAATAATAATGAAAATATTTAATTCATATGAATCGGGATTAAAAAATCATGTCACATTTTATGTTTGTCATAAGGCATTCATATTCAAACATAAAGAGTGGTTTGATTAATATATAAATTGTACTCCCTAAACCCTAAACCTAAAAATAGCAGAGGTGATTTAAAGGCAAATGTATACATTTGTCCTTTGTTTCAGTTAAAAAACTATTAACTGTTGATTAAACCTAAGTGGCTTTCAAGTTAAATGATGGTCCTCCACCAAATTAAACATTTAAATTTATTTTTAAAATATTTACATGGAGTAATAATATCCATGCATGATATGTAAATATCAAACTTTAGCATTAGATATGTAAATTATAAGAATTGTGTGGAATGTATGAAATTTTTATTTTTTTATGCAGTTATTTATATAGATTTTTTAAAATATATTTTGTTCCCCTTCTTGTCATATGAAGTCTCTTAATAACATGTTAGATCATTTTTAAAATCTCGTAGGAAGAGCTAAAAAACAACAGTTTTTTAGAAAAATAATATTTAAATTTTAAAAAATCAATTTATTCTATTGAGGGCAGCTTAAAATAAATAAATAAATCATGAGAATATGGAGTCTTTAAAAATTGTATTTTATTTTTAAATAAATATATTATAAAATTAATTAAATGTTTACATATAATATTCATATTAAAGTGTTTAATTTTTTTAATTCGAATGAATTTTACGAGTTTTTCTTTTTCCAATATATAATAGATGGTGGCGTCAAATCAACTGTTTTAGTCGTACGTGAATTTTATTTGTATGGCTGGCATCGAGCTCTCCATATAGAGATCCAAATTGTTTTATAATCAGTGCTTTCTTAACACATTTCTGTAAAACTGAATTAGAGGTTATGTTTGTGTCCAGACTATAGTTGTGATGCAGCGGAGATCGGACTAAAGGTGTATCACGATCATAGTTCGGACGCAGCTCGACGTCCGAACGACGGATATAATAATCTCTTTTATGTCCAGAGATTGTTTTATAATTAGTGCTTTTTTAACACATTTCTGCAGAACTGAAATAAAGGTTATGTTTGTGTCCCGATGACAGTCATGATACAGTGAAGGTCAGATGTGAGATGTATTACGATCGTAGTCCGGACTCAGTCATGCTGCAACTAGAGCTGTGAAATCGTTGCAGAACCAACTATTCTTTAAAAAATTATGATAAAATGCAGATTCTAATCTAAACTCTTTGCAAAAATACAATTTTAACAAGTACTTGAAAGTAAGTGTGGCTGAACCGAACGTGACCTAAGATAAATAAAACACAATGAACGTGATTAAAATATATAAAAAATCCCAATTAATTAGCTATGCCCTTCGTCACATTTCCACGCCCTTCTCTTCTAGCATGAAAAAAATAAAAATAAAAATAAAAATAAAAATAAAAATAAAAATAAAAACGTCGCTGACAAGTGCGTTAAGATGTATTACCGTGTAATTCTCATGAAGAATATTTTATGTAATAATAATACATAAAAATACACAATAATACACATAGGATCAAACACATATAACCGCGCACATATAACTGAACTCACATGAAATTATTCTGAGAATCTAGGGGTAATCCCGCCAGCAAATTAGCATTGTAACGCATCTTTTCATAATGTAAAAACGGGATCTTTGCTCCTTCACCACGTTGGTGCACCTGCTAGTGAACGAAGACGGACCTGTGTTCGCCGCTCTCGCCGCCGGCATGCTCGAGGATCTCTTCAGATATGCGGAGCTGCCGTCGCCGGAGGAGGATGTGGTGGCGGCGGCGGCTGCAGTGGAGGAGGACTCACGCCTGACGGAGCTGTTTCTGCTGCTTTTGTTCTTCGAAAGCTTCCACTTTTCGTCCATGTATGGGTCCATGTAATGGAGGAAGAAGAAGAGATATGAAGATTTTGAATTTATATGTGAGATGGGAGGAGAAAGAAGATCAGGGGAAGTGTAATTTATGAGCATAGTGAGGTTTCATGTAGAAAAAAGAAATATATATATATATTATTGGACTGCAGTGGCCATCACCTGGCTTTCTTTGTCTTGTGTCCACACACCCACCATCACCACTCTTTAGTTTTTCCTATTTTTTTTTATTTTTTTTAAACCATTTTTAGTTTCATCATACCTAATTAATCTTTGAATAAATCTATAATTTTCAAGTTATTTGTTAATTAAAATACTTTTATTATTGACTGAATCACGTTTATTTTGTTTCTTATTATATTTATCGGATATATATAAGAAAATCAAGTAAGCAAATGCTCAAGAATTTATAAAAAAATCATATTTGTTTTTATTATTTTTTAAAATAATATTTTTTGCCAATTATAACTTAAACTAAATCATGTTGCACTATCTCTTGTAGTGTGATGTATCTTCTTAATAATATGTTGCATGCATACTTAACATTATCTTTGATCATTAATTTTGTGTCGCTCTTTGTTTATTTAGACATAGTCTAAACATTGTAAATCTCACAATTATAGGGGTTTATATTTAGACTGTTTGGTTGAGCGAATTTGTAGTGTACTATAATCTTTACATGAACTTTAGAAAATTAAGTATTTGATATGCAAAATTTATAAATATAATATAAATTATGAATGAATTTGAAGTTTACATTTTAGTTCATTTTGACTAAATTTAGATTTATATCTAATTTGAGATTTATTAATGTAAGATATTATCAATAGGACGCCGTCCACTGGCCACCACCGCAAGCCTCCTATCACCCGCTGGCCGACTTCAATTGCCACTTATTCTATGTCGCCCACCACTCGCCAATGATATCTTATATATTTTTTATAATAATAACAATTATAATGCATTTCTTAATTAGCGTTTGTTTTTTAAATCCCCATTTATTTTTTATGTATATATTTGAATATTCAAAAACGGGATTCACGCACGGCATAATTATTCAGACGAGGGGGATTCGCGTATTAGCGAGCGGGGGCTTAATTTAGGTTAATCTTAATCATTAGGGAAAATAATCATGAAAAAATTAGCACATATCATTGATTATCTCAAACAAATTGATCCAAAATTAATTAAATATTAAGATTCCTTTGTGGTATTATTGATTGTTATGCGTTTGACTGGTCAAATATGAAAAAGTACAATTACATATAATAAATAAAAAAAATGTAATGCGAGTCCAAGAAACAGTTGGGTTTTGTCTGTTAATACAATGTTTAGTAGTAATTTAAGTTAATCAAAAACATTTTAAATTTTGAACGTTTTGGTGCAGCCAGATCTTGACTTGATTCCCGGATTGATCTAATCTAGTCGTACATTGGAATTGATTGTAGAATAATACCTAATTATTTTATTATCAGACGTGCTTAACACCCTTCATATAGAATTTCAAATTATTTATTTTATCTCATTAACTTTGGAATTAATGAATAACAATTAAGTACAACATTGGGCTATAAATGTATTTTCTAAAAACAATAAACTGTCATAATATATATATATA